GTGTTTCCCCCCCCCCCCTTAGGTCATCCAAGATATAGATGAGTTTGTTTCTTAACCAGATGTGGAGAAATGTAGCATTACATCGCTTGCTCACGATTGAGTCACCAATGGATCCTCTGCAGTGAATGGGTGCCGTCAGAATGAGAGTCCAAACAGCTGATAAAAACACCACAATAATCCACAAGTTATCCACACCACTCCAGTCCATCAATTAGATTAGATTTAGATTTAGATAGACTTTATTGTCCCGAAGGAAAATTGTCTTGGACACATACAATCCAGTGACTGCTGCTTAAATAAGTAACAAAATACAATACATACACACATACGCACACACACAATACCCACAATACATACACAAACTGCCATCAACCAACCAGTTGCACACTACCCATCAATTAGCATCTTGTGAAGTAACAAGCTGCATGTTTGTAAGAAACAAATCCACTATTAAGATGTTTTTAACTTCAAACCATTGATTCCAGCTAAAATACAAGCCATAATAATATTGCTTTCTCCAGTGAAAAAGTCACATTATCTGTATCAGGAGAGAAATATGCACAGATCGAGCACCAATTAAACAGGTCAAAACAAATATGTGGGTGGATTTTGATGTGAGAGGACAACAGATGGACTTTTTCACTGGAGGAAACGTTATTATGGACTCATATTTTGGTTTAAAACGTTTTGAAGTTAAAAAGTCTTAATGATGGATTTGTTTATTTAGGACTTTTGTGAATGATTAGCATTCTAATTCATCAGAAATCAGTGGAGTTTCGTGGGTTCAGATCCGTGTGGGTCTTCTTATAGGGTTTTATTGTGGTTGGGATGCCGCTTTAAGAAGGTAGCTGCTGATTTAGGCAGTAGACAGCAAGGCAGCTGGCAGGAGTTCGGAACAGAGCTTACATGTCATTTAGCAGAAAGTTTTACAAAAACAACATGCAATTTCCAGAACACTAATTGCAGGAAAAATCCTCCAGAATCAACCATGAGCTGCATGCGTCAGTCAAGCACAATGATGAATGTGATGATCAAACTTACTTCCTTTTTTCCCTCCAGGAAGTTGGGGGTGATTTTTTTTAATTAATACTTTTATTCAGCAAGGATGCAATAAATTGATCAAAAGTGGCAGTAAAGAAATATAGCATATATATAATGTATAAATATATATAGTATAATGTATAAACTTTCTATTCATCAAAGAAACACACACACAAAAAAATAATCCTGAAAAATAAATTATGGTTTCCACAAAAATATGAAGCAGCACAACTGTTTTCAAAATTGATAATAATGAGAAATGTTTCTTGAGCAGCAAATCAGCATATTAGAATGATTTCAGAAGGATCATGTGACACTGAAGACTGGAGTTATTACTGTTAACTAAGACAAAAACAATTAAAAATAATTTTAATTACTCGAAGCAAATCAAACATGAACTGAAATCAAATCAAAGAAACTTGTTTTATTTCAGTTAGTTGCCAAGGCAACATTTCTTAGGTTTAGTTTTTACTTGAAGAATTGATTAATAAATAATTATGTTTATATATATATATATATATATATATTTCAAATTATATAA